CTTGCTCATTCGGCAGCTGCTGTCCCCCTATCAATCACGGCGCTGTAGCGGGAGCTTCGAGGGGGCTTGCGCAGCCGAGGGCTTGCCGGGAGAGAGTTGGGGGCTGCCGGAAGGTGCGGGTGCGAAGGGCCGCGGGAAGGCCGGGGGGGGCCGTCCCGGAGCTGGGCTGTCGCGAGCGTGCAGGAGCGTGGCTTGAGCTTGTCCGCTCGCTGAAAATTGTATTATTTGGACCATCTGCCCGTTCAGCTTAACTGCAGGAATGTAAAATGCAACACTTCCCTCCCACCCCTTCCCTTCCTCCACGCTCCCCCTGCCCCGAAGAAAAACGCAGCAGGTTTGGGGTTTAATCCAAAGCTGACAAGTCCACGTTTTTCGCAGAAAATGCCTTTGCACATTAAATCACATTTTTTTCTTCTTTTTCTAGTGGGGTGTTTTCCCATCGGTCAATTGTCTTGAAGTATAAATCTGCTAAGCAAGGATTTTATTTGAAGTGCAACATTAGTCTGTAAACTGGCTTAAGGATTGCAAATGAGCAAGACACCCTTTAGGCTTAGCTGCAGCTAAACCTCAGTATTATTTCATTTAGGACTTTGACTTATTAGGACATCTAGAGTTAGTTAAAGCATGACTTTTGTCATGAGGCCTAAGTTTGAAACCTTTCAGTGAGGAAATAAAATGAGATGCTGCCTATGCCTAACAAACTCTGTTGAGTTTCCAAGCATTATTGCTGGGAAGTAACACGATTAATGCGGGTTATTAAACTGTACCGACCGGTGCTACTGAACCTCCTAATGCAATCAGAAAATGCTGCCGGGATCACTTGCAGTGGTTGCACTAGCAGTTCTTTTGTTGCAGATTCGATTTGTAAGGACACGCTGCCTGAAGTTACAGTTTTCGGAAGCCGCTTCACTAAAATATTTAGCCCGTGTCAGTAAAGAGCACGGGAGCGTGGCACCACCGTTAGTGCCAGCTGCAGCCGCTAGACTCTGCCCCTTGGCTCCTGCATCCAGACAAAGGGAGGCACATGGAGAGGTTTGGAGGCGTAGGGTACACCTCAGCAGGGTGGCCTGGCTGCTTTGCATTGCTCAGCAGTGCTAAACAGCCATTAAACTGCATTTATAGCTGCTTTACATCACTGTGCTGATCATTATGCAGAACACAGGGGTGAATCTGGCCCATTTAGTTTTATGATCGCTATCAGAAGAGATGGGACGAGATAGGTTGCAGTGTTGTTTAGCCTGAGGTTTAAAACATCTACCGTCACTTGAGCCGCATGTTCAAAATGCAGCTGAGTCAACTTAGTCCTTTGTCCTTAGGAGGTAAATCGAGTGCCCTGCAGTTTACTGCCCACAGAGCCTCACAGTTAAGAACTTGCCAACAGATGTCCTGTCTGCCCTGCATGAACGTGAAAGGTTTCCTGACGTTTTTCATAAGGGCGAGGTTTACTCTATTATTCTTGGGCCAAATTTTCCATTCTTGCTGCTGTTGTGCCGTATGACGGGCAACTAGTTTAGCAGCCTCAGCCATGGAGCTGGCTGCCTTCTGATGCTTTTTCTGTGTGCTCGTGAGTCCCCTGGGTTAACATCAAATTGAAGGGAGTGTTCACGATATCCCTGTAATCATCAGACAAGCGAACTAAAAGCAAATAAAGCACAACCTGAAAATATAGTATATTGTTGAATTAGAAGTAGGGTTTGTGCTGCAAAATGCAGCTACCAGTTTCGCTCGAATGTGTTGGTTTCACGGCAGGCAGAGGGGCTCCAGCTTCCAGTTTGGGGTCAGCATCTTCCTTCTTTATCTCCACCAGCTTGGGCATGAGGCTTTGTCTCCGTTCCACCTCCAACAAGAATGTTTATATTGAAATCTAGAGAGAGAATTGTACCATGGTTTAAAAATATGGTACCACAAGAGAGCTGATGAAACGACATTCAGAGGCAGAAATGTCCTGGGACAAGTCAAAACCGCAGCAGCAACAACGGTGCGGTGTTGCAGCATGCGCTTTTGTATTCCTCCGAGCGTGATTATCACTGCACCGGGGAGAGACAAGAGTTGCACATGCGCACACTCTGTAATTTCATTCATTTACTTTTTAGTTTAATAGCTGTATCCTCATCTGTTCTCATTCAGGCAGGCTATTTAGTTCTGACCTGTAGTCATAATCACCTTTTGGGAATAATTGAGATGTAACTTGATGTTGTTGAACAACAAACTGTAAATTCATGTAGACTACGTTATAGCCATTCGGCTTTTCCTAGGCTGGGAATAAAGTTCTTAAACTGTGGGCCTGAATACAACAATAATGATGGGTAGTTGGTGTCCTGTTTGAGTAGCGGAACTAATTAGAAAAACTTGGGGTTCTTTATTTTTGCTGTCAGGGACCAAGGCACATTCTGGGTGGAATTTCATGCTAAGGAAACTAGTTTTCAGCTGTCTGTAACAGCCTAAATACAGAAGAGCCTTTCAGTGAAATGCAACAAAAAATGACGATTTTAACAATGCACACTTGAAAGAAAGATTTTTTTCAGCTGTGTGATGCCTTCGTGGTTTTTTTAGAGCCTTGAGCAAGCAAGGATCAGTGCATTAACTACCTCAGTCCCAGCCATAAGGGCACCCCATGGAGTTGCCGATCTTGCTTGCCTCCATCATGCGATGAGGTGTTCTGCGCTGAAAGCAAGTTGCACTGCTTTCCCTGAAACGTGCAAGGGCAGAGCCAAAGCTCCCAGCTGCTCTGGGCAGCCTGAGCTGAGTTTGTTGGCATATGCAGCATCTGCTTAACCCAGCACCCCGAGTCCTGCCACTCGGGAAGGCTGAGCAGGGTTGCGGTGGAGGCTCTCACCATCTCACGTGAGCGTTCAGGTCGACTTAGAGTTGACCCGCTTCTTGCAGCTCTCTGGGAGCTGGCAACGAGAAGTTCCTCGCTTGTGTGGAGAAGCGCAGTACCGCAGATCTTCATTTGCGTGGGCCAAATTCATCTCTGCTGCAAATGTTAGCCTCAGGTGTAACACAGCTGAACTTAATTTGGAAGAAGTGGAGGGGGCCTGAATTCTGCACAGCGTTCATTCTGACGCAAAAAAAAAAAAAAAAAGATTATTTCTTTCCTAATTTGTTTTTTCTTTGCCCGTTTTATTTTTCAGGCTGCCTCACCACAAGTGCAAGTGCTGATCTTACTGTCACCGTAGGAATAGAGTTAGCAGAACAGACCTCGCCTACGTTACCACGTGCCACGAAAAGCAGAGTCTCTGGGAAACTCCGTCGCTCCGCTAGCGCTCTCAGCAAGTCTTCCGACTGAAGTAGTTTGGGAGCAGAACTCCGTTCAAGGGAATTTTAAAAAACTTAAAATATATTAAACTATTCACTGTGTCACTAGAACTTGTAATTTTGGATGAGCACATGTTGAAGGGGGCGGGTGGGAGGGACTGCTTTCCAAAATGACAGTTCTCTTACATTTCCAAACAGACATTACTGATGGGCAAATATCACCTGGATTATCATCGTGCATTTCACTTGACTCTTTCTGACATAAAAAGAGGGAAGGCGATCGGAGCGCTCGCAGTTGGCGTCTGACTGACTAATGGGGAGGAAGCACCACTTCTCCCAGCGAGGCTGCGCACGCAAGTGCTAGTGGTGCAGACAGAGGATACCAGCCAGTATTGAAACCAGCTATTTCGTGTCATTTTAGAGCATTGATTTTAGTCATTCCAGTCAACGCTTAATGGTGTATTAGGGACTTTTGTCTAAATAGAAAAAAGGTTTTCTTAGAATTAGACATATAGCGAATGTTCTCCTCTTCTAAAGTATGGGCGAATGATTTGGGTGCTTTTCAGTCCATGTACAAGCCCTCTTCCCTTTCTGTTTTGAATAGGTGTCCGATGCAGGTTTTGTGCATGTAGCTAAGACTAGGTAATTAGCAAACACGTCATTTATCTGAAATTCAGGAAGGTGCTGCCAATTTTATAAAATGGCAACACCTGCATGAAAATCACTATTTAGTCATGCCATGTTATTTGAGGACCTACATCCCTGGCTGCGGTGTAAAATCCTGAAGCTGAAGATGCCCCGGCCTCCAGCAGCTTGTTCCCTGGCCTAACATAGCACTGCAAAGAATTTGGACTCCTGTCCTGAAGCGTTCGTCTTAGGCCAGGCTGCTACAGTGGTGTGAGGCTGGGGATATCAGTATGTTGTCCCAGACGTGAAGTCCTGCCAGTTTGGGTCAAACCATTTAACTTAACATCTATGAATTTATTTTAGATAGAAGTCCCCTTTCTCGGCACTAACTTTGGATTTGGGATAGTTTTGTCATTTGGAATATTGCATGTGATCATTGCATAACATGGACTGGTCACATTTTCTATGTGCATGGAAAAATGAACATAACCGAAATTGCTTTTTACAGAGCAAATGCTGCACATTTGCAATAACTACTCGTCACCAAGGTTTGAATAAATAGGAGGCAGTAAATTTCTTAGGTAACCACCTCATCTTTTCACAACATCAGGGCAATAAGCTGCAAGTTGAGGCATCTCTAATTAGGATAAAATAAATTTGAAAGTTTCCAAGGGCCTACAGTGTCCTACTGGCACTTTGTGTAGTAAGCAAATATTTTATTTTGAATAGAAAATGTATTTCAGCCTATGTATGTCATAAGGTTTTAGAAGTGAAAACATTGTATAGCTTAAAAAAAACTATGATAAAAATAAGGAAAATGAGAGAGATACTGCAACAACTTAAACACTTAGTGTGCATAAGGATATGCAGACTGAAGGTAAAAATTCACTGAGCTCGGTCTTGCGTCGGCATGAGAGACATAATCCGAGCAACCGAATATGAGCTTCCATCTAATAAATGCTGCAGTACCGGCAAGCGAGGGATTGTGGAACTGGGTGCCGCTTTCAGCACTGAGTTTTCTGGCTTTTTTCTTGCAAGAGGGTAAGAGAAGGAGACAGCTGTAAAACGACTAGTACTGCGTTAACTTTTCTTTGGGTTTTTTTTGACGTTTTGGACATCAGTATCCATGCCCCAGTTCGAGTTTTGTGTCAGATACCTCTAGCCTTTCTAATCCTCCTCAGGTCTAGTTCGTATTGTTGCGTTTTGTTCAATTCTTATTATGCTGTTTGGCAAGGATATGCACATCTTTAAACGTAATGTGATTTGTTTTAAGTGAAGGGGATCTATTTTAAAGTGAAGCAAAAATGCACCGTTGGGCCACCATTTTTTTGCACTTCTACTTATGTGTTAACGTCAACGTCTGTTTGTTTTCATGTCAGCAACAATCTGTGTTACTTCCCTGTAAATAAGGAATACTGTTTGATAAATATTTACAGTAATACTAAGTTAGCTTGACATTTTGCTATTAGCTTTAAGTAATAGTTTATTTGGTTCTAGTAGTAACCGGCTTGTCAACTTAGCATAACCACAAGCATAAACTTGTAATTGGGTGCACTTCTTATCCAGACCAGGAACTAGAGACTGTCATGCTTAACGTTAACGTGCAGTCTGAATGTAGTTGGCACATGCAGGCTATAGATAATCGCAGTAATCCTGCTGGTGAAGAGGGTCGTTTGTGAACGTTTTGGACTGCCATTTTGATTTTCTGCTTTAAATTTTGCTTTTGCTTTCTACTGATTGTGTGTCTATAAAGCAAATTAGAAAGTAAAACGTGTATTTTAATTTATTATTATTTTCACGACTGGCTAGGAGAGGCTATCTCGTCCTTAGTTATCCAGTAACCGTCTGAACTAATTTCGAAGGCATTTTTTTCTGAATAGAACTAAAACTTTTCTCTTTAGAGCAATACAAATCTCTAATTCAGGGAAGAATGAAAATGCCAATAAAAATTGTTATTTTCCTGATGTTGAAAACTTAAAAAAATATTCATCTGTGCGATTCTGATGGGGTTTTGTAGTATAAAATAAATAGCCGAGCTGTCCTATTGCTCCTCAGAAAGCTATTAAATCGTAGATCACCGTGACATTCTTGATGAAAGCGCCTTAAAAAGACCCTTTAGTCTACGTGGCGCGTGCAACTTTGGTGAAGCAACAGCTGCTGTGACTGAGGCAGTAGCTCTTGGCTCCTCTGGTCCAAATGAGGAAGGTGACCGTCGCCTGTAGACCGCCCCTGCTCTGGCTGCTTTTTGAGCGTTGCTATTTTAGCTCAAAGCTGGGGCGCGCTGGACCCGACGGTGGCTTTCTGAGGGAAAGCACGGGCGTTTTCCTTGGACTGAATTCTGCGGAGCTGCTACTGACAATTAGGTGTTTGCCTCTCAACAGGTTAGTTTTGAGCCTATTTGATGGAACTTTTGGGGGGGCAAAT